CAGCCGGGGAGCCAAGCTGGACCAGCTGGGGCAGTGGCAGTTGTACACACACAGATTTCTATACCACGCTTTGCTGGATGGAAGTTGAGGGGGTTTTGTTGGGTTTTTTTAATCCACAAAAGCCCAGCCAGTTGGGAAGATTGGACTCCGGAGCTCCTGCAAGTGAAAAATAGCAAATCCAATATCTTTTTAGTGGTGTTTTTACATTCAAATTAGACATAATCTCCATGAATAAAATTACTGTTCCCAAAGGGATCATGCCCAATTTAAATGTATAAAATGTCATTAAAAGGGCACTGGCTTGCTATTAAAATTTAACTCCAGCAAACCCCCAATGTCATTTGTATTATAGTTTTACAATTAAGCCAGAGATGTTGGAAATAATAGTTTTGATGTACAATCTGGTACCATACAGTACAGCGCATTGTTCCTAAGAAGGCTGCAGCCAGACCTGTCACTGGAAACATGGCCGCGTTGAAGCAGCGATGCCACCGGGGCTGGCCGCAGCTCCCGGGGATGGGGCACAGCCACGGCACTGCCAAGGGGCGCCCTGCTGGGAACAGGTCTGCTGCCACACTGCGCCCTCGACTCCCACTTACAGAGTGGTCCCACCCGAGACCAATGGCTGCAGCAAGGACGTGGCCAGCGCAAGCTGACGTCCCGCTGGAAGGACCCTGTGCGTGGGGCTGGGACCCCCTCCCTTTCGGGGCCATGAAAGCTGGCCCAGGACCACACTAGGCAAATGATGCAGATCCCTTTCCTTGCAGTCTTGCTATCTCAAAAGCAAAATGACTCAGGGAGGGCGCAAGGACTGGAAAGCAGCACTAGCAGGGCACGGCTGCATAGCAGGGGCTGCTGGGCTTGTGCAACAGCTGGCAGCTGCCTGGATGCAGCGAGGCACTGCCAAGGAGGAAGCAATCAGTGGCAGCGCTCCAAGGTCCCGGTCTCCCCCGGAGGGACAGGAGCACATGTATCACCCCGCTCCTGAACATGTGGTGCCACTGAAAACATCCCACAGTACCCAGCTCTGGCTGGGGAGAGGTAAATGCCCTCCTGCCCTATCCCTGGCACTGGGGCTCAGTTAGCTCCCAGAAGGGTGAGGTGCACCATCTGCACAGGTTGATGTGTGCATGCTGGTTGCCCCATCCACACTGCGGATATGGCTCACTGCAGCCACAGTGGCCCAAGACGGGGGGCGAGGCACAGTCAGTGCCGGGAGCAGCTTGGCTTTGCCCCTGGCTTTGCCCCGGGTCTGCTGCGCTGGTGCTGTGTGCTGTGGTGTGACTGCGGGCGGCTGCATGGGGAGCTCTGTGCTGCTCTCAAGGCCAGGCAATCCCCAGCAGGGATCTTCCCTGGGGAAGCTGGTGCAGCTCGAAGCGGCTGGAAGTGGCAGCAGGAGCAAGCAAGGTGGGAGGGAAGAGGTCTGCCCAGTACGACACCTGTGCCAGAGGGGCTG